GGGGTAGAGATTCTGTTCAAAACAGGGCCGTATAAGCATTCGCACAGCTTCATATCGCGACTAGGTATCAGAAGGCAAGAAGCCGCTTGTTTGATCCAGTGTGAGGATATCTGTGCGCATGGAGGCTTTTGCACTGTAGGCCTGTAGGCATGGCTAAAACGAAGTAGCCGAGCAGCCCACGACATCCTTCGTCCTATAGTACACCGTGGCTCACTTCACACTTTCTATCGGTAAAATGCTTGTTTGTCACTCGTCGAGAAGGCTATGCAGATCATGCAGATGCTCGTGGACGCTGGAGCACGGGTCAACAAGGTCGATGGCAACGGTAACACTCCTTTGTCGCTGGTGCAGCGGAAAATCGGAAGCCTGCGTCAGCGGGAGCGGTCTGGACGCATTGACCAGGCACAGGACCTGTGTGTCACGTATCGTGAAACTAGTGATCTGCTGCTCAGAGCTGGTGCAACCCGCTGGCCCCGCATGCGGGCAGCCTTGAACATACTTGTCAAAGCCACTGCGTGTCAAAATGACATGTCGGTCAACGTCGTGCGTCACACTGAACTTCGTTGCATGAGGAAGGATTCATTGTTCAGCCTTTGAATGGTTTTTCCACCGTTTCGTTTCGCTGCATGCTTTCAACAATTAATTAGAGGACTCTGGCACAGGAGCTCTGTCCCCGACGATCATCCAACAACGGGCGAGAGAGACGCATATTATGCCAAAATGCCGAGTGTTTCTGCTGCAGCACGCAGCTCTTAGGAGTCGACGGACTTTGCGACTGACGGGTTCCGAGCATCTGCCCGTACTCAGCGATGTAGAAGTGGGAGCTGGCTGCTTTAGAAGGCCTTCTTCTGCAGCCTACACCGGCACCTGTCAGGTCATTGGTGAGCATCGATGCCGAAGCGGCGAGGTGGCAGCCTTGGGTCGCAGTCTTTATCTCGGAAGCACTGCACGCAGTTTTGGTTTGGCAGACATTGGGCTCCTTGTGCAGGCAAAACAGAGCTTTCCAAGTCAATGTGCAGCTGCCGCAGGCTATACGGTCTGCATGCCAGTGTGGGGGCGCCTACAGACTTCTCACCCGCACTTCCCCACCGTTTTTGGTTCACGCTGGGCCATGTGATCGTGGACAGTTGGTCAGTTTCATCAGGCTCCAACTCATCCCGGGCCCGTGAGGTGGACAAGGGGCAGAAGGCACCGGAGCCTCGTGAAACCAGCCGTCAGCTGGACAGGAGATCTGCGCCAAACCTCCAGGTTAAGAGTTGAGCCATGATTCGAGCTACGTTTGCTCAGTGAGAGAGCTGTCTCTAAGATTCTCGGCCTGAATCCACAGCTCTGACGCCCTTCTCGCGTCAGGAGCGCAGCTTGCAGTCGTGGGCAAATTAGGCCTCTTGGAGGCCTCTGCCAGAAGTTTGTTAAATACTTCCGCGGAGCCGAAGCCGCAGCATCCTATACCATCCTGGAACCCTTCACACTGAACCTGAGACATCAAAGCCGTAAGCTAAAGCCCTAGATCCTGTGCTCCAGTCGAATCTCCAGAACTCTTTACGACAGTAAGCTGTTCTTTTCGTAAAGTTTGTCAAGGATTTGAGGTTCGGACTTTGCACTGAAGATTTGCCAGGTTTCGGGCGTTGGAGGTGGAAGCTATTCTGAGGCTTTAGCTGATTCAGAGGCTCTTCTGTGGGGTCCTGATTGTCGATGTCTTATTATTTAGGGTTCCTTCCTGTCTGAAATTCCCAGGCTTCCAGCAGCAAGACTATGTTGAAAGCGCGACGTTGGCCTACCAGAAGGAGACATCAAGCAGCCGGGATTCCCGACTTCCAAACCCAAGAACCCTGAACGTTGCACTGCAAGCATCCGCAATCCACCCAGGCGTAAGGTCCTTAAACCTTCTGGCACGATTGTCGCGCGAATGTGCGCCCAGAGGCTCAGACTCCTGTTCCCCCAGGTCATTTGTCAGGCCGAGCTACAAACATTTCAAGACCCTGTCCCGCTTGTTTTTGGCTTCGAGACACTGCATGCCTTAGCGAACCTTATTCCCAACACCTAAACGGGTGGTTCCCCAGATTGGCGGCCGTTTTCAGACCCCCCAATATAGTACGGCACCCTTACACAAACGACCCTAAAAGGGACTCTCATTTAGAGAGCTACCCAAATCCTAAACGCGAAAAACCCCCAAAAATTGCCAAACCCCAAGCCCCCGCACGACGAGGAGAAGCGGCTCTTGGCCGTTCACCTCAATGTGCTTGAGGGAGAGCCAGAGGCCCATGCAACCGAAACAGAGGAAACGTTGGGTTTCTACAAGGGCTCCCAAACAAAGGGTTCTACAAGGCGCAGTGGCAGTTGTTTAAAGGCTCTCTGAAGGCAAGTCCCGCGAAACAGCCAGCCTGAGATCCAGGCTCTAGTCTCCAAGCTGTCAGGTTTGTGCTAACTTCTTGAGCCCAACCTCGGAGCCCAACCCGCACTTCAGGGCTTTCCGAACTGCTTCGGATTGTGCTGCAAAGAGTTTATCGGACCCAAAAACCCAAAACAGCAACCCAAGCATCATCCCCGTTCACATCCCGATATGTTGAAGGGTAAGGTGGACCTCTGATCAGCAACGCTGCGATTGTTCTTATGGTGAGGTCTACGAGTGTTGTATACATTGTCCTTCCATTCGTTAGCGGTCGAAATTCATTGGGTTAAGGCTTAAGCTGTAGGTCTCCCTAAACCCTAATCCTTAACCGTTGTTCTGACAGGTTTGACTTCAAAGGTGACCGGAAGCCGTAGAGGGGGCTCACACTCGACTGATCGTATCGAAGACTTGCCGTTGCCAAATGTGTACGCCTGAGGTTGAGAGTAGCTGTGAAGCACTGATGAAGTCTGCATATACTCCTAGTAAGGTGTATTTTGCTCGCCTTGCTGGCTTCTGTTCTGTGAGTCCTCTGCGTCTGTTTGGTCTTGCTTGTGTTGCTAGTACTGTTGCTATTGCTACGATGTTCATCCTTTTAGCTGCTACGGCTGCTGCTGCTGCGCCTGCTACCACGACGACGACTACTACGACTACGACTACAACTACGACTACAACGCTACGACTACTGCTACTACTGCTTCTTCTTCTACTATTACTACTAGACAACAACAACAACAACAACAACTACTACTACTACTACTACTACTGCTACTGCTACTACTACTACTACTACTACTACTACTACTACTACTACTACTACTACCACCACCCGTAGGGCTACTACTACTTCTGCTGCTGCTGCTGCTGCTGCTACTGCTACTGCTACTGCTACTGCTACTGCTACTGCTACTACTACTACTACTACTCCTCATTGCTGAGCAGTATGTGCACTTGGGCTCTGAGCGACACCGCAGATCTGTGTCAGAAAAATCGCTTAAGCTGGCTTACGAGCCCACAAGAGGCTGCTCGGAAACCGGTCCCCGTGTCATTTGTGAGAAGAAGGCCTTGACAACATCAATTGTCGAGCAGAAATTCTTGCAACGGCCAGGTCGTTGGTCCACCGAAGGCGAGTTGAGGCATTTCCAAACAGGCTACATTGCACATTGGCGTCGAGCATGTCGACCTTTGTTTGGCGTGACGGTCGCTGGGTTGACTGACTGATAAGAAGTTTGTGATGCCATGCAGATCCTTTGTCCCTGCGAGAGGCTGGCTGTTGAGAGAGTCCGGACCTTTGCGGCAGTTGTTGAGAAAGACCAATGGTTGTCTCTCTCATGTGTTGGAGCATGACTCTTGGTGGGCAGCTCTTGTCTTGTCAGACTTGCGCATGGTCAGGGTGAGATCCGGGGCTCATTTCAAAGTGAGCTTTCAAAGTGCGTGTGTTTGCGTCGAGCGCATGTTGGTTGAGTTGCGAGGTCGCAGACAAGAGGTCAAAAACATGTTGAGAGCCTTTAAGAAACGTACCTTGCTTGACAGAGGGGAAACGCCTGAAGTTATCAGACAACAGACTTGCTTGCGAACGGAAGCATTGCAACGTGCCGTGGTGCTTCTCAATATTGCTGCGGACAAAGTTGGAAGCGTGGGTTGTGACACTTGCGGCCAAACCTTCAGAAGTCGTGCTGCCTTAGGCAGTCACATGGCCAAGGTGCATGGCACACCGTCAGAAGTAGTAGGAGGTGTTGGCGGCACGGATGGCCTTTTTGAAGCAATATCATTCCACTCACTGCTTGCATCATCACCTGCGATGCAGTCGTATCTGCCAAGCAGCATATCAGGGTTCTGACGCTGAGGGTCCCAAAGTCGGGTCGAAAGGACAGGCCTGAAGCCATGTGCTCGCATATGTCATATGTGAACCACGCCCATTTTGGGCGGAACTGCGTCCAAATGCAGAACAAGCAGTAGTGGAACGATTGCAAGGACGTGCCACTCTTGAGCTGGTGCGCCGGTTGGCTGTGAAAGCTCTTGTTGCGAAGTTCGTTCAGGAGTTTACCCAAGCTCTTTCTCTTGTCAGCTCTTCCCCTAAAGATCTGGCCAGTCTCCTGGAAGAGGTTCCCGTTGGCACCAGGGGTGCGATCGAACTTGACGACATCCTATCAGCTTTAGAGCTATGTCGGTGAGAGAAGCTACAGCCTTGTCTACTTCATGTGCAGTTCCAGTCACCTTTTTGTCATGACAAGTGCCAAGAAGTGGAACCCCAAATTTGGTGCATTGCTCTGATTTGTGCAGTTGGAATTCATCATGCAACGACCTTCAAGCTTCGTCCAAAGCAACATCTAAGCCCTACATACGTGGAGGCCCTGATCGCCAGTGGGCTTGCCGACTTATTCGAGGCCCAGCTCCCTGGCTAAAGCCGCAGTCCCAAACGGGCTGGGTTTTGATTCAGCCTGCCAGGCCTTTTTTCCTCTCCTCTCGAGAGACCCAGAGTCGAGCAACAGACGGGAGAGCCCAGGGATGCCTTGCAATTGAATTCAAGGGTTTTTTTTCCACCGGCTGAAAGGTATCAATCTAGCTAGCTATCTACCTGTCTGTATATTCACAGACATGCACACCGACATACTTGTACCTACCTATACACACGCACATACCTACACACAAACATAACATAACATAACATAACATAACATAACATAACATAACATAACATAACATAACATAACATAACATAACAGAACAGAACATAACATAACATAACATAACATAACATAACATAACATAACATAACATAACATAACATAACATAACATAACATAACATAACATAGCATAGCATAGCATAGCATAGCATAGCATAGCATAGCATAACATAACATAACATAACATAACATAACATAACATAACATAACATAACATAACAAGGCTCCAACCTCTCAATCAACCTGTCCACCCTAA